AACCTTGGTAAAGGATAGACACTGATAACCAAAGCACTTTTTCCAATAAACTTAAAATGGTTTGAAAATCACTATTGCCCTTCCTTTTCTGTTTTTCCCCAGTCTACTCTAACAATAAAACATTAGTTTCCTAATCTATAGAATTAATTGGCTAAATCAGTTTGGTTGTCCAAAGCAAATCTTAGTTTTGCACCTTGTAACCCAGGAGTTCAAGCCAAAGTGGTTCATAATTTCCTTATTTTTTTAAAAAAACCCTCCATACATCTTAAAAATATATATTAAAAACCTAGATGTGCATGGACTTATTAGTGTTAGTTCACCTCCTATTTCCCCTTTTAAATTCCTTTCTTCTGTCTGCTTTTCACCCAGTTACTGTATGTCTGACTGAGACTATGATAAGTGGGTAGAAAGATGCCAGGGTATGGGAAATTGGCAGGCAAATAATATATCCTTTGATATTTTGTGCTGGAGCCTAGGTGAAGATTACAACTAAAACTATCCCCTTCCACATAGGTTAATTTAATGATACTCATTCTTATGTCTTTATGCAAGCTGACAACTGGATTGCAGTACCTATCCCTCTGATTTCAAGCCAATGGTAAGCACTGATATCTTGGATGCTTTGAGAGACTATTCTGTAGATTTCAGTGTGGTAAAGGGATTGGGAATTTAGAGTTTGCAGATTGTTCTGAGTGACAAAATAACAACATATAATAATTTGATCTGTTGTGCACATATGTAATATAGTTTATATATTCTTATTTTCTATTTTAGAATTGTGGACTGTGGTAGAGTGCAAAAGGGTAGAAAAAGTGCTACCTAATAGCTGTTAGGTATACACACTTTTCAAAACAGAGCTGAGTTGTGTTTAGTGGGGTATGTCATGCCTCTGGAAATAATCCAAAGTCTATTTCTATAAAGAACTCTTGGTTTTCTATCCATATTTGAATAAGGAACACATAAGTCAATTTCTGATTGACTAAATATGAATTAACTTATTAATTCTTGGCACTGAACACTATGAATTCAACTGAGTTCTCAGAGTTTACGTTTTGAGAAGTAGCTTATTTAAACTGGAAATCACGTGACTCTTAATTCTAATTGGTTTGATTTTTTTTATTTGTGTGGTGACTCACATTCAGATTTAATGCAAGGTTTAGGAAGACTGATTCATGAGAAGAAAAACTTAGACCAGAAGTTAGGAAAATAAGTAAGATATAAGCAGTCATCTTCTTTTTGCCAGATTCATGTTTTTCTGCTTCTTGTACCATTATGTATAACATGGAGGATAAGAAGTGTTGCCATATATTCAAAATATGTCAATTTCCTTGAGTTGAAAAGAGTATTAATAAATGTAGCTTCATTTTGGAGGAAAATATATTTAAGAATTATAAAACAACAAATTATGACTATATGAAGATATCTTGTGCAAATACTATCCTAGTTTATATCTTAGAATTGCTTATTTCAGTTCTAAGGAATTGATTTCCACACAAATCTTTCCCATCCTGTTATTATTAAAATTAAAATGATTTCAACTCTGCAGTATCCAAAGATTTGACTGATTGGGACCCACCACTGTGTGGTAGATGCTGACCAACAAAGGAAGGTTTAGTAGTTTGGTTTAATGTAATATGCATGGAGAGTAAGGAAGAAGACCTTGACAGAGATACAGAGACTCTATTATTAAGACAATAAGGATTGAAGTCTAGAATGTCAAGATAACTTGCTTAATTCCTTAATTCATAAGATGCAGCAAAAGTATGACTTGCAAGATTCTGTCAATTTCAATGAAGTAATTGTAGATATCCTATGGAGTTACTTCATATTCTGGTCCACCTAGTGGGCTGTATGTCAGTTCAGGTTTTATAATTCATAAACCATAGTTAACCTATATGAAAATATCATTTCGGCTTATTCTACAACCTGGGGCTAAAGCATAACATAGCAATTAGTATGACTCTTAAGTTGGTCACTATATTTCAGTCCAATCTATCTTTCAAGATTGTTGTGAGAATAAAATTAGAGGAACTCCTCCACCCTGATAGATTACTTGGGATATCACTGTAAAAGCTTAAGTGGAATAATATCTTTAACTGCTAAATTTAAATACCACAGTTAGTAACTCAGAAATAGCATTCTTCTATTTCATTTGCCATCCAGCAGTGTAAGTTTGATGTTAACCAATAGATAATGCAGTAAATTATCTTAGCTTGGTTGCACAGTAGTTATGTAAATAGCCATATCACTCAGATTCTCAAACCCACAGTTCTAAATCAATTATCAGTTAATGTACCTAAACAGGATATTATAAAGTTTTTGAAGTTGGAAGAGGGGTTCATCTGCGCCCCTCTTCCCTGTTCATATGGGTTCCTTTCTGCCTGTGGACATTGAGGAACAAAGATACAGTTTTAGCATTATTATTGGTTTATCGCCGTGAATTTTTGGTGTATATGGTTTTGGGGATTTTGCTTTTGTAAACTTATTTAAAAAAAGAGATGGTGGCATCAACTGCAAATTCAGGCACAAAAATTAATAATCTCCATTTGGTTTCATTGGTTGGCTCCTCATGGATCACTAGGTAAATCAATGCATGAGATTTTTAAACAGTCAGTGATATCCAGCGAAGCAGGCCACAGTGTCATTTTCATTCTGGCATTTTATTTCTATTTTTTTCTAGTGTTGAGTTCACAGTGAATAGAAATAACTGAAATAGCTATTATAACTTTTTTTTTATAGTTGGTACTACAGGATTTTGCAAAAGGGGTTTCTCCCTGTTATAGGCTAAAGAATTCTAATTTATCTTATTGTGTTCTAAATTTATCTGTGTCTCACAAGAATCTCTTTGAAATCACTTCGAAAGTAGCAGTGTATCTACTACTGCTGCAACTGAATCCAGTTTTCTTGCTGCTGGATGTTCTCTTCTCTTTCCTTTCCACATTTCCCAGCATTATGGATTTTTAAAGAGAGTATAATGCATCCAAAATAAAATGATTTGAGCCTTGTTGTTTGTACTTTGAATAGAACTCTGAGTTCTAGAATTCATTTGTTTATTTCCTTGACCATCCAGGATAATGTAGTCTCAGGAATATTCTTCAATGCCAAAGTTAAAAAATGTCGATATTGTTTTTATCCTGCGTGTTCTAAGTGCACCTTTTACTTCAAATAGAAGCGTTGACTTCACAATTCTGAATTTTGTATGTATGAACAGGTCTCGGCATCTGAATATCTTTTTCAAGACCTTTATTGCTATTCTACTAACTACTTCTATGTAGGATGTTTTTGGTTGCTATTTCCTGTACTATTGACCGACAATCTAAAAGACTGAAACTATGTACTATTTCAATTCCTTCTCTGTCAGTTCTAAAGCTGATTGCTGTACCTGTTTTATTAAATTGGTACTTTTTATATTTAAGCATAGCACCATTTTTTCTGTACTTCTTGACATTTATCACTACAGCTTCCAGCTCTTTGTTATATTATAACTTGATAAGAGAGTGAATAATTAATATGTTGATTAATAATTATAACTTGATAAGAGAGTGAATTATAACTTGATAAGAGAGTGAATAATTAATAAGTTGATTAATAATTAGTGCATGAAGCAAAAATAGTTAATGGCCTGCAGTATGCTGACAAAAAATGAGAACCACATCGCAATTTGTTCCAGGGATAGGATTGATCTTACTTCAATATTACTAGATCTATTTTAAATTTAAGAAACACTGCTTTCTTCTTGAGCAAACTAGTTTAGGATTAGGTGATAAACCTAGGAGTATGAAACCAATGAAGATAAACAATGACTTATTTGAGCAAGCAAAGATTTTAAGTGATTTGTTGTTTGCTCATAGGCAGTGTGCTTATTAGTGAAAATATATTACAGAGCTGTAAAATAATGCAGCTAATTGGTACTCCTCTGCTATTGCAATCTTTGTTCTGTCATTTCTTATATGAAAAGGGAAGAAAATGATCGATTGTTGTATATGGAATATTACTTTAACAATTTACTGGCTAGATATTGTAAAAAGAAATAATAACATTCTTAGCTGGCACAAAACTCTATCTTTATTAACTATATGGTATTTATGGCATCCTCTTAAATGTTGTTATTGCCCCATCTTTTCCTAAGATTTGCTCGTTTTATGTTTATTAAAAGTTTTACATTTATTTATACATGTGCTTTAACATACCTAAGATAAATGCATGGATATTGCTGCCAAATATAAGAACATTATTCTAAAAAAGGTTTTGATCTTTAATAGCTGATGATGTAATATGCTTCTGAGTGTATGATGTGGAAAGATATAAATGTAATTGAAGCTTGTTTTTTAATTGGAGGGGAATATTTTGGTGTATACCTTTTTTCTAATAAATCTAGGAAGTAGTAGACCTGAAGCTATCTGATAAGTTTTTATGTTATAATATTTGATTGTATTTAAAATATTATTTTAAATCTTGTAGATGGGCATGCAGTTCATAAAAAATTGAAACAAACACTTTACCTGTAGTGACTCCAATCTGATCATAACGTATAGATTTCTCCAACTTCTGAAGAGAGTTGTTTATTTAAAATAGATAACTGAAAAATAGTCTCATAATTAAAGTAAGTAGAAGAGAATATATAAATAAGATTTTAATTACAACGTTTAGTCTTCTTTTTTTCTTTTTTACCAATCAGTTCATGTTTCATCATTGAGACAATAGTCTATGTAGAGAAGTAGAAGGGTTTTAAAATTAGAGGCTATAAATAACTACTGACTTAAGTACAGAAGGTTCATGACATCAGCAGCTTTTATACCAGCAAAATCTTTTTCATTACCTTTGTATATCATACTACAAACTAAATAATCTCTTGCACAATTTATATTTTGATCATATTGTATCTAGGCAAGTATAAATAGTTCAGTTCCAGTATTAAAATAAAATTCTAACTAAAAGATAATGATGAGAATACTAAAATTGTGCCATTAATATTTATATTCTTTCTTTTTATTCTGCAGAATAATAGTTCCTTGGTTTGGTGTCAGAATCACAAACAGTGTTCAAAGGTATGTGCTTGCCATATTTATTCATCATTATATTTTTGGGTGTGTTTTGATTTCTGTATTTTTCTCAGTCTAGTTCTATAATATTTCTGTATTGTAACATCGTTTTTGGAATTGTAACAACCCCAACAAAAAGGTACTTTACTTTTCATATATTATTGTAGTTGCTAACAACTAATCATTACTTATGCATTGATAAGATTTTGTAGAAGCAATTTATATTAATTATATAAAAACTACCTTTAACTTACATTGGCTTTGATAGCTTATTTTATCTATCAGGGAGACGTAAAAATGATTAGTCATGGCTAAATTGAGCAAATCAATCCACACTCATCACTTTTTGGGGAGGGAGCAGGGAACCATTTATTTGATTTATATCCAACCTCTCTGTCCAAGCATGAAATGCTTTGTAACATAAACAAGTCACTAAAATGCTCCTAATAATATTTATTCTACAAGCAGTGTCCATCAAGGAAGGAAGTTAGCAACATGTTTCTCTAACATTCTAAGGTCTATTTTGATGCTGAATATTCATTCTGTTAGTAATTTTATGCCGTCAGATCTTAATTTATTTGCAGATTTCATTTGGTCTTACTGGTACCTTCTGTGTGTGTTTTGACTTTTTGACCTTCTGAAGATTAGAGTGAAACTGAACTAATAACCATTTGATTCCACTGGAAAAGCTTCTCACCATGATCCCTGAAGAGAAGCAACAATGATTCATCAGCTTTAGAGGGTCAAAGAAGAATTATTGGACTTGGGCACTGCCTGCTCTTTTCATTCACATACATTGTTGAGTGCATTTATCCCTACTTTAAAAGCCCCCCCCCAAAACCATTAGAACTATGTTTTATGTGCAGAGGAATTGGAGGGACCACTTATTTTAGTCAAACTTTCATAATGGTACCAAGTAATATCATCAGATTTGTGTTGAATAGTTGACTTTATAAAGTAACAGTAAAAAACAAAGGCCAAATTACCAGCAATTTTGACATATATATCTGATTAAAAGATGAATTATTTTTACAAATAGATATTTCCATGTAAAAAGAATCTTGAAAGATCACAATTTTGCTAGTACTGTATAATTTTTTTCTGGACAGCACTTTTGATTATTTGTGAGTTTCTACTGCAGAAGTTCTACTGAAACATATGCATACCTTCTAAATTCAAGATTACTTAATTGTCTTGTGGCAATTTGTTTAATAGATAAGGTCTATTTTAAATGAAATTAATTGTCTCACGTGGGATTTTTAGACAAAACATGTTTAAGAAATAATGCACAACTTCATCATTTTGGAGGACAAGAGTATATAACCTTGTAAATTAAGAAACATAAATTGTTACTTTTACCAAGTGATAATGTGGAATATGAAAATATGGTATTTTGATGACTCTTAAATGACAAACTCTTTTTATCTATATTTTTATTTTATTCAAGACAAGGTTAAAATACAAATACAAAACTCCAAACCAAAAACCCAACAAAAAACAAAAAAGGAAAAACAAAAAAAGCACAAAGCAATTAAAACATCAGCAACACATATACACATATTATAAGTAACAAACTCCTAAAATCTCTGTTAGTGTTTATTCTGTGAAATGAATTAAACAAAGATTGTTTAATTTTTCTCTTTTTCTAAGATTATCAACATTAGTTGTAGCATCTATTCACAAAAGCTTTTCAAATTTATTTTCATCGTACCTTAAATCTTACTTTAAAATGTGATTATTTATTTATCTGTTGTATGTGTTACTACTTTTGGTATCCTTTCAATGGATAAAATTTAATATTAATTTTTCCATTTTCTATATTTACAGTGTGCTCTACAATAGTCTGAGTAAATATACTCTGAAATTAAAATCTTTGAAGTTAAAAAGTGAGTGGAAAATAAATTAGAATTTAAATGGGAATCCCAGTTTTGATAAATTAATGTGTTGTTATTTATTATGTCTCAACTTTTCAAATTTGTCCTGTTTTCCAAAATATAGAGGTTCCTTGAACATATGGCATTTTGCTGTTAGTTCTGATAGCTTGTTCCTTTAAAGAGCAAGAATACTGCTAGTATTTGATTGGATAATAGATCACTTAAACATTTGAAATAAAATATAATGAAATCTCAATTTAATGAATTGAGTGGTGAGGTACTATTTATTCTTTCCAAAAGTCCATTACTTGCAAATTATAACAGTTTAGCAATTTATATCTCTTGTGTAATTCTGTCATTACAAATAACATTTTTAGGTTTTGATACCTGTTTTGATGTACTGTAGTTTGATACGTTTTCTTCCCTTCTGTTTTTTGCAGCAAATATTTTATTTGTTTATTTTATTCAATTTCATGCCTAAATAGTTAATCAAATTTTCTTGGTGTAGGAAAGGTATTTATTTGCTTAGTATTGTGGAGATACTTGCAAACAATAATTTTAAGGGGTAACTGAACACCATGTAAAATATAAAGAAGGAAGCATATTAAGATATCGATCAATTCAATGAAGTATTAGAATCATATAAGAAAAAAGAAATGATGACATAATAAATTTTGCTATTTTATATGTTGTACTTGGGAACTGTGATGAACTATAATTCTGCATATATAGAAAGTTTCTAAGCTTTTTGCTTTAACTTGGAGACTAACATATTCAAAGAGTATTCCTTAGAAAACAATTTAACATTTCTGTGGCATTAAAAAAAATCAGTCTATTTTTTTATATAAGGTTATATAAAAGCATTTATTCAATTACTGAGTGGCAGTAAGCAAATAGAAAATTAAATGGAACTTTTGTTCCATGTTAAATTTCTCATCATATACTAAATTATTTATACCTTTTAGTATTATCTTCTTGGAAATACAAGAGAAAGATTAATGCATTGCCTATAGGTTTCCCATATACGCTATACCCATGATGGCAAACTTATGCCATGCGTGCCAGAAGTGGCATGCAGAGCTACCTCTCTGGGCATGCCAGCCATTGCCTGTTGCTCTTCCAGGTTCCAGTGCACATATTCATGCCAGCCAGCTGGTTTTCGCACATACGGGAGCACTGGAAACCAGAAGAGGAGCTCCCCGGACTGTATGCGCATGCTAGCCAGCCTGTCTCCACACATGCAGGAGCACTGGAAACCAGAAGGACAGTTCCCTAGAGTGCATGTGCATTAAGACCAGCTGGTCTTCACACGTGCATGCATGTTAGAAGTTTCCAGTTTCCAGTGCTCTCATATGCGTGCATTGGAGAACTGATCTCCTGGTTTCCGGCACACGCATGTGCTTCCATTTTGGCCACCACTGTGCTATACCATTTCAGACAAGTGGCTGTCCAATCTCTACTTAAAAGCCTCCAGGGATGAAGCACCTATAGCTTCTGACGGCAAGCTGTTCCATTGGTTAACTGTTCTCATTGTTAGGAAGTTTCTGTTTCTCCTTAATTCCAGGTTGCATTTCCCTAGGATTAGTTTCCATCCATTATTTCTTGGCCTGTCCTTTGGTGCTTTGGAAAATAAGTTGCCCCCCTCCTTTTTATGGCAGCCCCTCAAATACTGGAATACTGCTGTCCTTTTTTCCCTCTAGATTAGCCAAACCCAAATCCTTCCATTGTTCTTCGCGTATTTTAGTCTCCAGGCCTTTAATCAGTTTAGTTGTTTTTCTTTGCACTTTTTCCAAAGTCTCAACATCTTTTTTGTAATGTGCTGACCAAAACTGAATGTAGTATTCCAAGTGTAGTCTTACTACGGTTTTATAAAGTGTACTAATACTTCATTTGGTTTTGATTCTACAATCAATGATCATATTAACTTTTTTGGCTGCTGCTGCTGCTGCACACTGCTGGCTCATGCTTAAGTGATTGTCCACTAGGACTCCAAGGTGTCTCTCATGGTTACTGATTTGAGCTAGGTTTCACTTAATCTCTATGAGTACCTTGGGTTTTTCCTGCAAATTAAATCTTGCTTTTCTCCACATTAAAATTCATTTTGTTGGATAGGGCCCATTGTTCAAGTCTGTCAAGATCTTTTTGGATCCTAAGCTTGTCTTCTGGGGTGTTGGTTATTCCTGCCAGCTTAGAGCCATGTGCAAATTTGATGAGTTCCCCTTCTATTCCCTCATCTGAGTCATTTATGAAGATATTGTAGAGTACTGGGCCTAAAATGGTACCTTGTGATATCCCACTGCTAACTTCTTTCCATGTAGATGTAGTATCATTAAGGACTAGTTGTTGAGTATGGTTTGTCAGCCAGTTACAAATCCCTCATTTTTCTAATTGGCCAAGAAGTAGGTTGTGATCTTCTTTGTTGAATGCCTTTCTGAAATCTAAGTATACTATGTCCACAACATGCTGGTCATCTAATTTATTCACTTTGTCAAAGAATGAAATAAGATGGGTTTGGCAAGATCTGTTTTTAACAAACCTGTGCTGGCTTCTAGTTATAACTTTATTTTGTTGCTACATGTTTTCAGATCTGTTGTGTCATTCGTCCCTATGAGAAAGAGGAGAAAAGGGTAGTAATCTGTGGATCTAATTATTTTGGTCAGGTTCTCAGCCACATCTGTGATTTTTGCTACAGGAGACAACATATCTCCCTAGATTGAATATCTGGTCTGCAGACAGCAGGTTCTGTTCCTCTGAGAATAGAATCTCCTATCATCACCAACACTCCCCTTCCCTTTTTGTGGGGGGGCAGTTTGGGGTGCTTTTCTGTTTATCACAGGTGTGTTTGATTATGTGATTTTTTTAGGGGTATTTGGTGATGTCTCTTTTCTGGATGTGAGCATGATTTCTTTAAGGAGGAGGTTGTAAGTCTTTGTCTTTTCATCTAGGAGGAAAATCCTTGCTCAGTTATATACGGGCTGCATCAGGATAGGTTATATTGGGCAGTAGGGGTATGTTAGATGCTGCTTCTCAATTCAATTGTCATGTTTCCTTCTATGTGTGACATGCCTCCCATTTGTCTTCCTGGAAAGGTTCATCCACAGGTCAAGTCCTTTAGGAGTTTGTTCATTATTT